ACAATCAAGCACTATACCTTGCGATTAATAACGAAAAGCGGCGATGTCCACCCTAAAATTCTGATTAAAATCCTATGATCATCAATTAAATGATTAGGTATCATCGGTATTGAGCAGCAGATCGTGACACCGATATTTACTGTTTGTTTACGTTTCCGTAAAGGCGCGGGAAATGCGGGATGGGGAGGAGCAGAGGGGTAGGGGATGCGGCACGGCAAAGGGGGAGAGAAATAATAATGGCAGATGTTCTGATCAGACGATGACACTTGCCGACATATCGTGGTCACGGGACGTGGTTCTTGAGGGCTCCCGACCCATGCAACATGTGGCTGCAACTCTATGGGGAATCTCAGGGAAGAGTTGTGGCCGAGAACGTCTGGGGTAGGCAATCCTGCCTCGCTTGTCTGGAATGTGATCCTTTGGGGATGCCTCCCACCCCGTGCATCGTTGTGTGGCTGCAAGGGGCCAGAGAAGTGCTGTAGCTGTTACAATAGTGAAATGATCAGGATAATAAACTGTTATGGGCGTTTTATGCTATTAATAATAACTAATTTGGCTACTTTCAAGAAATATGCACCAGCCCGGGTACACGACGTTTGGAGCCGAATCCTATTTGTCGTGGGAGTGTCATCGGCGTGCTCGGGAGGTCCTCGATGACGTCCCCAGGAGTCCAGACGAGCGAGGTTGACGGTCGGTCGGTCGGCCAAACCGTATCTTCTGTTGACAGCCCCAGTGGGGCCGTGCTCTTGCTGATGCCACCTTCCCTCCCCCATAATGTCGGCAACCCTCTCGTGATATAGGCATAAGCTCTGGAATGCGCATCCACCAAGCCAGCAGAATCTCTATACTCCATACTTTTCCCGGACAAACATTCCTCCTCTCCTTCCGTGCGTTGTTTGTGGCAACCTGCGAACCGTAGCCATCTTGGAAATCACCCATAAAGTACGTCACGTCCGTCCGTACATCAAGCGTCAAGTACGCTTTTTGTATGTCTGTCGGTAATTTAGGGGAGCACGGTGCCTGCGAGACTCGAGGTGGGCCAGCCCGCAGTACACACATGCACTCCGGACCAAATGTTGCCTACCTACCAGGCGCTACGAAAGCCTGCATGTGCTGATGTTCGTAACGGCGATTGAAGGACGTACTTTATGTGTGATCCCTTGGCGATAGCGCCAGGGCGCCGCTGTCAGCGTCTCTTTCACTCCGGGCTGTACTGTGGAAGTCGCGAGCGCCGCCGCGATGCCTGAGCGGAAGTGCTCTTTCAAAGAAATCCAAAGAAAGTTATTGCTATCTTTTGATATGTTGTTTCCCGCACTTCAAAACCCACAAAAAGGTATATGTTGTGTGAACAAAATATCTTAAAAGCAGATTATACCAATTTAATACTATAGTATACCTGTGTTTTAATATTTCTAGTTTGATTTTTATTTGTGGTGGTTTTGCATTTTGCATCATATTTTAAATGTTTTACTCGTTTATCGTCTTTGACTGGCATTATTATAAAGGGGAGGGAGGGGGGAGCGTACGGGGCGGCAGCCGCGGCCGGTCGGACCCAAGTATTGTTGAGAAGGGGCCTGCCGGGCCTGCCGCGACCGACGCGACACTCGGCCAGGCAGGCAGGCAAGCACTCACTCACTCAGCCCCCCTGCGCCAAAGAAATTGATTTCTGTACCTACTTATCGAGAGTAAAAGCTAGCTGACACCTCAAAGTTTCTTAAATGTTCTTTATGTTGAGTCAAAAGTTTTTAAGGTATCATCTGCTAAAAATCCTCAACACGGGTGTTTTTGGCCTTCAGCGACGGTGTAGAAAGGCTCGTCTCCTGAAACGACAGCCTGCATCTCGCCTCCATGGCTCACAGTCGGTAGAGTGCCCACCCAGAGCGTTGGAGGTCGACAGTTCGACTCCAGCCTCGGCAACATTTTTCGCTTTCTGCTTGGACTTTGTGTAAGGCCTCAGGGCCGACCTAAAGTTCAAGTAGGATTGGAAGACGATCCACCTCCGTTGGCTGGGTAGCTCTGGTGGCAGGGTCGCTGTAACTGTCACATTGACTCGTTACTCGGTGTTGTGGGTTCGAATCCCGCGTACCCACCCCTGATGGTAAGGCCTCTGAATCTGGGTATCAGTCTTACTCACCTTGCGACACCTGTAAGTCCAACAACCAAGTCCTCTTCAATTCAAGTAGCTTTCATTAGCTGCACGGGGCGGGGCTCGTGTAAAATACGGGTGAGGCAGACCTTTTTATCCCCCGCTTGCTTTATGCTATGCTTTCCAAGTGTATGAATTTTAATGCGCTCACCTACAAGTGTGTGAGTATCTTGCCGCACCCCAACAGGTGTGTGAAAATTTTGTCGCTCACCTAGAAGCGTGTGAACATTTTGTCGCTCACCTAAAGCGTGTGAATTTTTTCACACGCCTCGTCATTTTTGGCGTGGAGCAGCGTTTGGAAGAAAATATCCGTGGACGGTATACCGATAGCCAATTCAAGCCCTCGTTTTTAAGGCCACAAACCCAATGAAGGGAAAAGAGAAAAGGGGGGGGGGGAGACTCAGCCGTCGCTGACGCCCGCAAACCCATGCCTAGCAGAGCGGGACAATTTTCTTCATTTCAGCTTCACCGGTCAACCGTCTGAGTACCCCCGGGATGTTTCCATAGGTGTAGCGGTTTGCTCACCTAATTAGAATTAGAATTAAAGGGGTTGAAGCGAGCCAAGAATGGTTCATAGAGGTTCGACCTTTTAATTCAGTACAAAAATAATGACGACAATAATAATTTTCGCGGTCACAAAACTTCAAAAAAAGGTAGAAAGGGGGAAATGACTGTGATAGGCAATGGACAGTAACATTAAAAACAAGGCAATGGACAGTAACATTAAAAACAATAAAAGAAATGCGATTAGGATAATGCAGTGAATGACAAGTTTACGAAAGACGAAGGCGCTTTCTCCGAAGTTCCTCTACAACCTCGACAAGTGCAGCCTCGTCCTCACGCTTGTAGCGGTTCGCCTTCTCGATGAGGGACTGGATCTCGGCCTCGCTGAGGTGCGCCTCCTGCTGCGTCACCTGCACCTGCACCTGGCGCCCGGAGGTGGGCTCCACGGCCGTCACCGTCAGCAGCCCGCTCTCGTTTATCTCGAAAGTCACTGAGATCTTTGCCTCGGGTCGGGGCTTTGGTGGGATCTCAATCACGAACTCCTTGTTCAGGAAAATGTTGTCCTTGATCAGGGGCCTCTCACCTTGGTAAACCTGACAAACAGTGTGAGGTTTAATAGCGCGTGTTTTAACGATAGCGCCTGCAACCCGACAAGCAACTTCGAGGTGCGTTCAGCGCTCCATGTAATGGATAGGCCCTATCCGATAGGGCCCTATCCGATAGGGGT